GGGGAGGCCAAGGGCAGGCGCTGACCTCCAAAAAAAAAAGTAGTAATTGTATTGGAATACAAGAGTTTTTTCTATTCCAAATCCGAATAGAAAGGGTACACGTTCTATTGGAATACACCGTGTACAATTTCTATTCGAGGTACTCTGCTATTCGAGAAAAGTGCACCCACACCGTTTCAATATCGAAAAAGGCTTAAGGACCACGGTCTCCTCGGCCTCCTACAGGCAGCTACCGGTCCTACGCGGTCCTGGCCCTTGCAAGGCCCCAAAACCTCGAAATGCCCACCCTCCCGACGACCACGACGTTGAAATTTGATTGACTTTAGAAATGTCTCAGGAGGGGAAAACGCAACCTTGACGGGCTGCGAATTGGAAGCTACTGGAAATACACGAGGCCCTCGCTGTGCACTACCGCTAGTTGCCAGGGAGTGCGCGCGGGCGCTGGAAGAAGGCAGGGCGCTGCCGAGGGCAGCGCCATAGCCAGCCCTACATAGGCAGGGCTTGGCGTGGACAGCCAGTGGAGGTGATGGTGGTCTTCATGCATAAGGGAGAAGACGTGGGAGGAAGACAAGGATAGGGAGAGAGAGAAAGAGGGGAGGATGAGGATGTGAGGGCGCATACCTGGTATTGGCGATGGTCTGCATTGGTCGACATCTTCAAGTACTTCGGTGGCTGCTGACATCAACAGTTGCATTGTCAATTCGTAGGCAGGAAGTAGCTGCATAGGGAGTAACAGAGGGCCTGGATACGTATGTTGGCGGGGATGAGAGTAAAGCTCTCATTGACATCCGGTTTCAGTGTTTCGATTCTCCATTGGTGTAATATTGGTGCAATGCTGCTTATCTGGACACTGTGGGACTTTCTTGCTTTCAATGGGTTTTTTTTTTTTTTTTTTTTTTTTTTTTTTTTTTTTTTATAACAAAAAACGCTCCATCTTTTGGTGGGTAGCATACCTGCTGGAAACCGGATCCAGCGTCCCTTATTTACACAGCGTTGAAAATGTCTTATGCTGAGAAAAAAGCAAAGAAGACTGAGAAGGAAAAATTAGGAAAGAGCAATTGTCTGAGGTATCTGCATATCAGTCTCTATACCTTTTCCCCCCCTTGGCACAGTGGCCTGTCTTCTAAAGAGACTATTGGGCTCTGTGCCTCCTTACCCTTGTCTGGCTATCTTCTCCATGAGGGTCGAGGGGCAGGGGCCAGGCGGGACCACTGGGGGGCACCAGCAGGTCCGTTCTTTTCCTTTCCCCTCGATTCCTACCCTCTACTGTCCACTGTCCCGAACTTCTAGAGCCTGACTTCCAATACCAAGGGATGGGGGGGAAAAGGATCTGGGAAATACTCAGAGTCGAAGGGGAGGAAAGGAAGGAACAGTTCAAAAACTACTTCCAGATTGAGATTATGCAGAGATGGCGAGAAACAAAACAGGTGTTGGACTCATATCACAGACCAAAAGACATATCAGAAAGGATCTCCAGATTCGCCAAGGAATGGCTGGGTGGACCAAGGGAAGGATGGGTGGCCAGAGTACAGTGGTCGGGCGACAGCGAGAGAGATGGACAGACACGAGAAGAGGACCAGCAGGCACCAGTTCCACGAGACTACCGCCTCATCTTCAAGGATTGGACATCAATTGACCCCAGCATCCCTATGCGGGGCTTTCAA